TGCCAAATATCAAGTACAAATCATGCTATTATTTGTTTATACTACTACCCGGGAAAGGTTTGTAATTTTCACATGTAGGTATTTCAAATTAAGGTGAAATACCACTGCTCTAAGCCAATCAAATTGCAGAAATTTATCATGTAGTAGTATTAGTGGAGCAATTATGAGGTATATTATTGTAAAGTCGATCATGCTCCTGCACGTTTTAGTTTGTTCGTCTTTGTGCCACTCGGACTTTCACAGTTAGAGCAGGGGACTATGGGTTTGCCATTCCTCAGTCAGCGCAGGGCTGATTTTGTAAAAAAAATGGGGAAAAACGTTTTTTTTTCTTTGCATTAATGTCGTGCGTGGAACAGCTTGCACTCACCGTCATTGGATGTATTGATATTGACTATTATGAATATTAATAAATTTTTCTCTTTTACTGCGCACACGGTTTCCCTATAAAACCGGTTTTTCCCTTGTTATTTCTTTTGTTCATGTACAACTGTAAAAAGTTTAGTAGATAGATCTTTATAATACTGAAGGAAATATCGTCTCGTGCCAGCCCATCGTAAAATATACCCACCTGCAGTGGTGTCATTTTCAAGCGTCATATAAGGCGGGAATAGCAGCAATGCTGCTTTCACATCACCAGTAGGACACCCAGTCACGCTGTCTGTCATTCCACCATCGTCCGGACAGTCACTGTTTGCTGCTGTGTTGTTAGACAGGACCATAAAATACAAACTTAAAATCATTACTTGCAAGGATGTCGTCGGTTTCATGTCAGAAACAAACTCAGTTGAATCATTTGAATCTAGACTGAAAAGAAGTGAAAACTCCACATTATTAAGTAATTAAAACCACTATGAACCTCAAGTTAAATTCTAACCTAGGAGCCTTTTCTCAAAAGCCTCTTAAATGCTTGGTGCTGCTCTATTAACTGTTTATAGTCATTGTATGTTTTTCTGTTACCGTAAAAAATCCAACCTGAACAAAATTAAAACTGGCCTTACGTGACAAACCATTACACTTTGATCTAATTGCCCCGTAACAAAACGCTCTATAACTGACCGAAAATGATCATTTTTTGCAGAAAATTTGTATAAACCATCTCATATCCCTGCTTGGATTGGTTCTGTCGGAGTCGTCGAGACTGCGCCGAGTCATTAGCAACAAATATTCCGATAATAGAGGTCCTACATGCTTATGAATACATTCACTTTCCACACCGCCCAGTTCATTTTCTTGTCAACTAAAAGTTTGTAACTTTACTGGATCTAGTGCCTTGCTTGTGTACTCTTCATTCCTGGCTACTTTTCATAATTTTTTAGTTCTAAGCGAGCTACAAAAGCTACAGTGAAAGGCTTTCTGCATTTTGAGATATAGACTGAGTGCAAAATGTGGTACACGATTGAAGCGTTTGTGAAGCTTTTAACCCGATGTTTCCTGATAATATTACTGACATAGCAGGAATCTCTTGCGATGCAAAAAAAAAAAAAAATGGCTTCAGTTAAAAGATTACAAAACCTATGTCTAACTCCTATGTGCCTTCGTTGTTTGTTTGAGTTCCAGTGTTGTTGCAGTGAAATTATTATGCAATGACACTGACAGCTGTAATTCTTGATGATTTTTGATTTATGCAATGTTTACACTTTCCGATTCGAAAGTACTGAAGCTTTAATAGCAGGGCTCTGTAACTCCATAATGATCGCATTCAAAACTCGTTTGAAAAAGGTCTAAGAAAATGCAAACGTGGATTACTAGTCGAATCTGAATGGGGCAAATTTAAAGCCCTAAACTCTAAATGCTCTCCGCTATGAACTCGCTCAGCAGGCCTGAAAAAAAAAAGCGTTAAAAAAATTTATTAAGCTAAATTTTACTATCATGTACGAGTTCAATCATCTCAAAATTACGCAAATTATACTTTGGATTGAAGTGAAACTGGACTGGCTTACCAAAATACCTAAACAGGAAAAAAAAAAACGAAAATTGGCAAGGTGAAGAGGGTTTTTCTTTAGAAGAAAAAGCGGCTTCAAACGAAGATGAAACCCTTTAGATCAATAAAACATGATAAGGATAAAAGTCATATAAACAACACATTCGAGAATACCAAATAGTTTAAGTACTGATTGTCGCAAAAATCGCCATAGTTTGACGATAGCCATAAGGATCCAGAGAATACGAATCTGATTATTAATCCTCCAATCGAAACAGATGACAATGATTGTAACTACTCAGTTCAACTTACCATTAGTACGATTCGTTGTTCTAATCGACTTGACCTCAAAAACGTTGTTAACAGACATCGCCAATGCATCGTGTTTTGACTCGGATTTACTTTAAAGATGTCATTGTAACCAAGTCAAATTACGAATAAATTTTTAATTTCAAGCGGCTCTGAATATTATTACACCCTACTGCGAAGTGTATATTTCCTACTGTTCGCTAACAAATTTATGTCTTAATTTAGTTTAACGTCTTATACCCTAACATGTATAATGAATAATTAACACGTGCCTTTTGTATAATTTTCAGTGTTTTATAGTAAAATTGCTGAAATTTCGGATTTGACTGTGTTAGTCTTTATCTTTAAGATTGTCTCCATTCTTTCCATGGTAAAAGCGCTGTTAATCAATGAAACTAAAGTGCTCTTGCTCTACTTGTTCAGAATGTCTTCAAATAAAACTTTGCCATCAACAATAATTATATTCCACCATATTTTTGAAATAATGAATTTTTTAAAAATTAATTTCCTGTTGAAGTCTTACTGATTTTTTTCTATCAAATTATCCCAGGCGTTCTAAAGAGATGCTAAGTTTGAAATTAAGTCTGTTAGAAAGCTTAATACACGGACTAAATTACATGCGAAGTTGAAATGACGAAGTGGTTATACAAATTCTGCTCTCTTTGTCCAGTTATTCAATATTTTGTCTAATGAATCGGTGCCAAGTTTGAGACGGTAAACAAAAAGTTGTTTCCATTAAAGATTTTTCCCTTTTTTCAGCTCATTTCAAGTCTATGCTTTTGTACTCAGACTGCGAGCAGTCTCTCATTTGCTCTAAACACAAGTCTGCGATCGAGTGCGATAACGCACTCGCTCACAGATTTTCGAGTAAGACAGAGACTGCAATCAGTCTAGACGCACTCTAACGCTTCTACTTCTTTGTATTCTACATCCTGTATGCCCGGGGGTACTCCCTTATATGGCCTATACGTTGATATGCTGATGAACAGGGTGTGGCTTTTCAGTGACCTCTCTGTCTTAAATATGGCATACAATTTCGTGTGAGTCTCTCCTAAACAGGGTATATAATTTGGTGTGATCATGAGTCTGTGAACAGGGTATTGCCTGCACGATTGATTTGATTTGCTAGAAGAATATTTTTTGTACTCCAAGTATACAAAGCCTGGGAGAAAAGCCAGGGAGAAAAGCGCCCTGCGGACGAGGTTGCTAAACAGGGTCAGGGTGTCGCTCAGGGTTTCAAATCCTCAGCGGCTTGCAAACGGCACATTAAAATACCACAGGTAGCCCAAGCGTTGAATATGGGCTTCCTGTAAATTGTGCAAGTTCACAGCACGCTAAATATAATTATGTGTTTTGGACTGTTAAAACTACGAGCCAGGATTAATTTGAAAAATAGCCTACCTACCCAGTCGTGAGAGGTTCAAATGTAATATGAATGTTGACAGAAACTGAAGGAACTGTAGTTGTGTTGTGGTCCTACGGCCGCCTTCTGCGGAGAGCTACAGGCCTCCCAGTTGGAGTTCGGTAAATGGGACAGAAAAGTGTAATTTACATGAAATACAAGAGAAGGAGGCGAATTTATTTCCAGTTCCCTGTCAAAGAAGAAAGGAAGCCATGTTGGTTTGACATCAATGAGTGTTGTTTTTGTTCGTCGTTGGCTTGTGGCTTTTTTCATAGCCATTGGAATCCTTTTCTTAGTGGCCTTTACCCTTAAAAAGGTAAGCGTCTCGATAAGAAGTGTATTGATGTTAATTTCAGCGCCATCCAGACAAACGAAGCAATGATGGTAATTTTGTTTTATATTTTTTAAAAGTTGTTGCCAAAATTGCACTGATAACCTGAGATCAGGCCCAATTTGAGCGGTTCTCAAACATTCTCTCTAACGGCTACCGCTGAAATTCCTTTCGTTTCGCCATGTCCGCCGGAATGTTACATGTATTTACAAAGCAAAACGAAAATAGAGCCTGATCTCAGGTTATTGCACTGATCGTGTTAAGTTTTGCAAGAACGTGGTTTTTCAAATTTTGATTCAGGTTCAGCACCTTTAAAAAATGGTGGCCTCGATAAGATGTACATTAATATAAAATCACACAAGCTTATGGCCATTAAAAAGGTTCAATGATACGTAGTAAGTGAAAACTCTTAGATATTATTTCTGTCGAACCTCTCTACAACGGCTACTTTGGGGACAGAAGAAAGTGGACGTAAAGACATGGCCATTGTAGAGTGGTTTCAAATAAGAGTCAATGTATGGATTTTTTGTCCACCGGGATAGAAAGTAGTGGCTGTCATAGAGAGGTAGCCATTGGGGGAGGTTCAACTGTATAAGATAGGCCTGCATATCTAGGTGGGGGGGACAGGGTGGTCACAACCTTCTGCTTACCTTACCCTGTTCTCCCACCTCCTGCACCATTTTGTCCCTTTGTCTCCCGACTCCCGCCCTTTATTGTGTTTCTCCCGTTAAAGATCAGAAGCCCAGGTTAAGTGTTAAAGCTCAGGTTAAGTGTTAAAGCTGTGTGGTAATTTGCCAAAGATAAAAATTGTTACAGGTCAGTTTTCTTAGTTAAACTGAGTTTCCACTAACCTGGTTATCTAGGTTTGACCGTCGCTTCTGCGACAATAGTCTCAGTCACACTTGCAGGTTATGAAGAATTGGAGATAATGGATATTTGAGCCAATCAGAAACAGACATTCGAATGAATAATAAAACTTATAACCCCTACCACCTTTTTTAATAAATGGATGTTTTATTAATTTGGCTTGTTAATAGTCTTATCAAGAATCAGACATCTTGGAAGTGCATCCCATAGTTGAGTTTCAGTGGATTGATATTGAGAACTTGACAGAATTCAGAGCCTGTAGAAACTCCATTCAAGGTGCCTTGCTGATTGTTGATGAAAGAGGTACAGAAAGTTGTAAAAATACACTTATTGGGTACCATACAACAGAACATGTTACAATCCCAATATATCTTATTCACAATAAACAGACCACGATTACTTGTACTGGCAAATTATATTACTTGTTTGCCCCCTGAAATACCATGTGATATCACTTTTATACCATCAATCCTAAAGCACAAGCAAAGATGGCGGGTATTGTGAATAAGACCTATTTAAAACTAAACACAGTACATACAGGAATAAAAAGATCCTTTTGTTTTATTATGATTATTCATTCCACAAGACAGAGTATTAAGAGATTGCTGTTTATTACACGTAGTTTCAGCATAATGTTGCTAGCCTGAAATATTCATCTGTTACAAGCAATAATTATTAAAACATGTTTCCTTTGACAACTATATACCCAACAAATTGTTTATTGAAAGTGCAGGAAACTCAACTGGATTCACCCAGTTAGTGTTGGTATTCCTGGTTAAGTTTGTTCCACCATAAAATGTACTTGTAAACAAAATAAACAGTTTAATGACCAATATGAAATTCAGTATATAACTGTATGTTTTACAATGGTTTTGGAGCAGTTACTTATGCTTTCTTTATGTACATGTACATGTTGGCAATAGATGAGGCAGACATCCAGTATGCATGGTACACTTTACACCATAAAATGGACAGTGGTTTTGGTTTTAAGAAGTTGTTCATTTATTGCTATTATTTCGACAACATTTTAGGATTTGTTTGTAATCGGAAGGATCTGTCTGCCAGTGGATGCTGTCACAGTGGGGGGGAGAGTACTCGTCGCTATGAGTGCACAGACTGCCAGAGTAACAACTGCTGTAGTATCTATGAACACTGTGTATCTTGCTGTTTGAGCCCTGATAACGTAAGTTCAAAAAAAATGATTCACTGAATACATACATGCAAATAAAGGGTGCATTCCTTTGGGATGATTCAGATCAGGATCAGTGATCTGTGATCACTTGGATCATGGTAGATCAAATGAATTGATGAATCCACTCTCGACAAGGATTCATCGGTTCATTTGATCTACCATGACCCAAGTTATCTCAGAACACTGATACTGATGGGGAACATCTCAAAGGAACGGACCCAAAGACAAGCATAACAGTTTTACATGCAATTTATTTTTCGCAAGGAAATGATATATTACTTGACCTTTCATCTCTATTTTTCTACAGAAAAAGTTACTGGAACACATTTTAAAGCTTGGCTCTTCAGTACCCAATATAATATCAAAGTCAGTCAAAGATCAATTTGAGCTGTGCCTTGTCAAATGTCGAACCTCATCCAAGGTAACCAAAACTTTTTTACATCTATTTACGTGATTATTTACACTGCATCTACAGCTGTACATGTAGTCACATGTTAAGCCTCTATACATGGTGTATAATAATATTTTGCTGACACATGTGACATGGTAAACACAAAAAGGCTCCTCAAAACTGACAAAGCAATCTGTGCTATTACAAAAAAAAAAACTTCAATAATTATTCTTATACAGTAAGTCACATGTAATCAATGGTCTGTGCAAAATCCCATTATCGTATCATTATTATAAACAATTATACTCATTCTTTCATATTTCCACAGAGTGTTTGGCATGAGAATTCATACAAAGATAGACGATTCAAACATTGCTTTGGCTTAAGTGGACCAGACTTTGCTGCTGCTTAGCTCCGAAATCCAAAATTTATTATTATTATAATAATTATAATAATCATTTCTAACAATAATTTATTTTATTTTTTCAAACTATGCTGCAAGGAGTTGAAAGTCAATACTGAGATACTTAAATGTTGTAAATACTTTTAAACCATTTTTTAAAACAGAACCATTCATTTGCATCAAAATAGGTTATTAAATTATGATAATCAGCGAGTTATTAACATTCATTTGTTAAACCTGATTAAACATTGTGTAGAAAGATTTCTACCTCATTGGGATATTTTGGGCTGACTTGCTTAAATTGATTTAAAAGTTTATCAGTTAATCAGAGAATAGTATTATATAAATAATATTGTTGTACCTTACCATTCTAGTTTTATGAATGCATTGTTCTCTATTTATACTTTAAGCATAAAATAAATCTGTTCTTTTTCAGTAAATGTAGAGCTCTTTCCTCTTGCAATGAACATGACGTTTTAGTACATAAATACTCACCCCGCACAGTACATGTACAATAATGTTTTTCTAGTAAACAGTAAGTATGCTTTAATTTCAAATTTTAATTGAGCCTTGCAAGATATAACAGTAAGTATCTTTTTTGTAAAAAGTGAATTGTGTTTAAAATATTTCAAATAGTTGTTAAATTTTAATAATTTATTAAAGGTTTGGCCTCTTCTTTATAAACTTTCAAAAATTCTTTGTTAGTCCAGTTTGCATGGTTATTATTGAAGTGTTATTTCTGTAAATAAATTTAACTGCTGACAATGAGTAAAAATGAACAAAGTGCATACAAGTTGGAGTGGATGGATTCCTGCCTTCATGAAACACTCTTACCAGGCTCACCATGGCACAAGGTACATTAACAATCAAGAAGTCATGTAAAGTTTGTCATGAAAGAGAGTTTTGTTTATCGTTTATGTCATGATTGTCTTATATAAGACATGTAGAGTTTGTAGTTGAAGACTGATCCTCCAGGTACACACTGTACAACTGTAAATGTAGGTGCAGTCCTGAATAAGACTGTTGGTGGCAGGAACTGTCACCAACAGACATAATCATCTTATTCAAGATTATACTCCTGTCAATGATCATTTTCAGCCTGCTTTGATGACTCCTGGGAAGTGACTTTAAGCTCTCCTTTCCCCTCAAACCATTCAATCCTGGAAATTTTGCCAAAGACACTGTTTTCCAGCCAGTTTTTGGTCCTTACCTGGGCAAAACGGACTAACCCAAACTGTGGTTTTCAACTTAAATAGTATGCTGGGTTCTTGTTCCTAATGCTAAACCAAATTTCAGGCATGCAGGGAAGGAAAAATTTTGAAATATTTTGGGGGGTAATTAGAAGTGACACTGTCGCCTCATCATTGTTTGTGTTTTGCAGACTATTACGTTAATACATGTATTTACTACATGTAGGCTTCATCTCAGTGGAAAAAAGATTCCACAAAACTCTGGAATCATAAAATTATTTTGAAGGAAATATGGGTGGGTGTAAGACAATTTTTTGGTCAACTTTTCATTGTTTTTTTTTTTTTCATTTTTTCTCCAGCCTACTTGACTGAATCATGTTCATTTGGGACTGATTAGAAAATCTTGTCAGTCGCAGAAATTATGCAGAAACATTATCTAGTGACCTTTTAAACTGATGATGTGATTACTTAAGCAGTATAAGAGACATTGAGTAGTTGAGTAGTCTGTTTGACAGTAGGGAGTTTAAACAATGACAATGGCAAGGTCAACAAGAACGGCAAAAAAGCAATAATGGTTTAGATTAGCAAAACAACAACTTTGCATGTGCATCACGCTTTTTTGTACATTTCTTTGCCGTCACTGCACGACTACGACGTGAAAATGCCTATTTTCCTGTTTGTAGAGGATGTGAACTCAAGACCACGACTTTCTTTTTCTTCTCCTGAACTTCAATACAGTCTTTTATAATTCAACTCCACTAAAAATTGTCAACATTTGATGAATTGAACAAGATTGAATAGGCACGATAAAGTTTAAAGCAACGCAACTTCACTTTTGGAGTGACGTTTTCACAGCCGTCGCCGTTGTTGTTGCTTAAGCTCCCTAGTTTACACATGAAGACTGCATACTTAAGTTAGGGTGCATACTTAGTCAGGGTGCAAAGAAAGTCAGTTTTACAGCCTGCCATTCGGGCAAGCTGTAGCTAGCATGTACTAGCCCACAAGTCATTTCAACTAACCCGAAAACCATTTTTGATTAGCAGGATTGATTACAATTCTTCTGTAATTTGAATTTTCCCTCAAAGCAGCACTTGCCCGTCGGGCAAGTTAAGAACAAAAATCACTAGCCCGACAGCAAAATCCACTAGCCCCCAGCTATCGGACACGACTTTCTTTGCACGCTGCTAGTGTGTACACAGTTTGTATTGTTTATAGGGAGTTTAAGATATCATGGTGGTGGCAGCAGTGAAAACATCTCTTGAAAGTGAATCTGTGTTTGATCGATCTCCATCATGATTATTCCAAATTGCTCACCATGCCAAATGCAACTGAACTCTTCTGGAGTTGAATTTCAAAGAACCATATCCAAGTTTAATTGTATGGCTGACCCCAGCAAATTTTATGTTTTTGACTTTTGTCTCGTGGTGTGTTGAAAATTAGGGGTTATATGAAGGATATGTATTACATTGCAGTTTACATTGAATTTTGTCAGGTCAAAATAACTGAAAGCTTGAAATAAGTTTGATTTCTATTTTCCTTTGTGATCATTATTTACAACAGACAAAACACATGTACATTTTGACCTGAAATTTACAACCTACTTGTACAACACTCTTAGATCACCATTTTTGAATGGACTTGCAGATTAGAGAAGCTATTAACAACAGTCTCGCAACCAAAGTGAAAAGCTACTGCAAGAATTCTCCAAGTGAAGCAATCCAGCCCTTATTGGATCTACTGGGACAGCAATTTGTTGAGAAATATCTTTCTTACTACGAACAGGTGAATTATTATATGTTTTTCTCTTATACTGTAGGTACAACTTTGTCCCTGTCAAATGCATGTGGGAGCATGCAATACATGTTTGTAAATACATGTAAAGGGAAAATAAAAGCCATATTTTGCCATGATATTCATTATTAATCCCTGCAGGGCAGTGTATATCCCTCTACCTCATCACCATCTGAAACCAGAAAAGAAGAAGCTCAGAAGTG